TCGTGGTTTTTGAATTTAGATGTAAGATAGGTACATTTGAGAGACATAGAATTTGTTTCCCGAGTTGGACTGCCTTGAAATATACTATATAATAGAAAACATTAAATTGGATCAATCGCTTTTCAAATTTTTCTCCATGTATGCCCTGAGCAGATATTAAAAGATTTGATACTATATGTCATATTATTCTTCATTAGTTTTCTCTTGATAGGTACGTAACAAAAGCAATTGATATATTTCGGGATTTTTCTTTAACTACCTACGTAAACGAATGGAAATTTAATTATGGGTTAATTTTCACTATATATCAAGATTTGCTCAATGTTTTCCCGTAATAAAAACTGTAGAATTTGATAGTGGTATAACGCGATATCATATCGGGTCCTGCTTATCTTTATCAAAAATCAAATTAGTACCAGGCTAATCTAAATAAGAACGTTGTTCTTGAGTCGGATTTTAGAATACAATGACTAATGGGGTAATATACAAGATAAACAGTAAAAGATGATAATAACACCATAGAAAAGTCGTCAACGAATTGATCGGAACATATTTTGAATCTATGATGATATACAATAGTCATTATTATTAAATATTGATGAAGTTGGAAGCACCAATAAATAATATAGGGATGGACATATCGTCGGCATCATATGAAAATTGCCTAAGTCCAAAAAAGTAAATTTTGCAGGAGGCACAAAAAACTTTTATGAAGATAAACTACATGATACAAATCACCGACAAGAATGCACAGAAGAGATTGGACTTACGCAAGTTTCACTCTGTCTTAATAGTGCAGTCAATCTAGGCAGGTTTATGCAGGTGAGGTAGAAAAAATTAGTAACAAAGTGATCTCTGCGTAAATGAGTAGTCAATAGGGTCCTAATTAATCCCTCAAAAATCGCACTTTGTCGCATTGGTGGAACTTGGAAAAAAATGGCCGCCATCTTGATTTTTTTCGAATTTATTGAATATTTCGGAAAGTATACATTATATCAAAAAAACTCAACATAACTTTTTTGTAGAGAATGAAAAGTTACTCATATTAAAGGAAATTTCATTGATTTTAGCTTGAAAACAAAAAAGTTATTGGAATTTAATTTATTTAAAAATCTAGAAATTTTTGAACTTTAGGTAAAATCGCGAAATGTATGCATTTTTCTAATAAAATTCAAGAATGCCTTTTAGTATAGGTTTAAAGATACCTATATTGAAGTTAAAAGAAAAACATCAGTAATTATTGAAAAGTTTGGTGTCAAAGGTCAGATTAACAACTGAAAACGACAGATACAACAGTAAACAAACAATTCCCGATCCAACATCCATAAGGTCGATTTTTGCATGAAAAGCCTGGTTGCCAATAATCCGATGTGATTTTCAATATTAAATGTTTATTCACGGATAATCATTATTTCAAAATATGTTTTAACAAAATGTAAATGTTTTTTATATGAATCTTTATTGAAACATAACTGAAACGCCTTTTTGAAAAAAATAATTAGCCTTTTTTCAATTTAAATTGGTGAAAGTTCTGGAATAACCAGAAATATATGGCTCGCAAAACAGCTCATCGGCAACGTTGCATCTACGAGCAGCCAATCAGATGATTTTATGTGACTTATGGCATCCATGACGGATTTGGCAGTGTTGCTGTGAAGTGATAGAGCTAATTTTGTGATTTTGAGTGTTAATCAGTGGTATTTTTGGATTTAAAACTGTGGAAAGTGTGGTGAATAATGGTAAAATCGTACATCGATGTATTATCTTTAATGATTCCAAGCACATTTCAATATTTCGGCGGTAAGAAATTTGACATCATTTTACGCTTACACAATGTGTTTGACAAATAAAAAAAAAAAAAAAAAAATTTACGCTTGACATTGGCGTAGATAGAGGATATTTATGGTAATTTATTGTGAGTGGTAAAATTGAGAGGAAACTGAACACGCCGCCACTGAACAGTGTTGCCATTTTACAGGTCTATCTCTCTCTTACTTATGTCATGGACTAAAAGATGATTGATTGTAAACATTGGGCGATTTCTAAATGGCATGTTTGGTCTCTAGTTTTATTATTAGTCTGAGGTTTACAGCATGGTCTCCAGTTTCCAATCTTCCTCTTCCCCTACTGGGAAGGTTTAGTGATTGTTTTATAAACTTATAAAATATAGAATTGAATTTATTTGAATTACTTGGTGCTCGACTTGGTGTCTATCCAAACAGTACACAGACATCTTAAAGACGTCCCTAAGATGTCCACAAACGACATTCAAGACGTCTTTTAGACGTCTGCTTACGTCTTCAAAACTTCTTAAAGACATCTGAAATAGGGCGTATGTTACAAAACTCAACGTCATTCAGACTTCGGCCTAAACACGTCTTCAGCAGGACTAATATTTTATTATTATCACTTATCATATAACTTTCAGTTCTGTCTATTCCAAACACTAGGGTCTTAAATTCTTGATTTCTTTAAACGAAAACACGAAAAATTCATTTTGGAAGGAAACCATTTGAAGAGACAGGACTGAAAATTAAAAAACAAATCAAGAGCCTGAAATTCTAAAATACAGGAATAATGATAATTCAAGAACTTGGAAAAAAAAATTCAACAGCCAAAAGAAAATTAAGAATTAGGAATAAAGAAGTAAGGAAAAATCAAGAGCTTGGATTAGAAAAAGTTATAAGAATTCAAGAATTTGAATTGAAAGAGGAACATTTTCTTGTTAATATTTTCCTATTATTTATGGCTTATTTTATAACTTTCAATTTTCGTCTATTCCAGGCATTAGGCTCTGAAATAATTCTGAGGTTTGTCTAAAGTGTTCTAACTTGGCTTGAAGAGTTCTGGAGCATTCTAGAAGTTTTTCAGTAATTTCAAAATTGGGAAGTCCGCTCCTTTGAAGGATCCATGTTAAATTTCGTTCTGACAGATTTTTAAGTATTTTAGAGCCCTATTGAAGTTCTAAAGTGAAGTTGAATTGGTTTAAAAGCATTCTAAAAGGTTTCCAGTTCTAAATTGAATCGTTATTGTTCTAAAATATCTCTGAAGTTTCTAAATTGTTCCAAAATGCTGCATTCTAATAATGCTTCTGAAGATCTCAAAATGTTTTGAAGCGCTACAGAATGCTTTTGGAAATTGTATTTTGAATTTTAAGTATTTTGAACTTTCGAAAAGGCTTATTAATAAAATTCTAAAGTGTTCAAAGCATTCTTAATGGTTTCAAGTAACTTCTAAAATTGGATGAAAAACGAATTCTGTGGAAATTTTCGTAGACATCTTAAATACGTTCTTACGATGTCCACCAAACGACATTCAAGATGTCTTGCTTACATCTTTAGGGCGTCTTAAAGACATCTTGAAGACGTATGTTACAGAACCCAACGCCTTTCAGACGTCTGCCTTTACAACTAACGCATTCTAAAGACGTCTTCAACGAGATTTCTAAAGAAAGTCTTTGAATCTCTTTTGAATATATGAACAATTATTCACTTTTTAGGCCTGGTTGTACGAAATAGTGTGGCTCAGTTGTCCTCAAAATGTGAATTTAGGACATCTTATTATGGGAGTTTTTAGACTTTTTTTTTTGGTCTTCAGACGTTCAGATGTAATGGAGGAGGCAGACCTAAAAAAGACTTTGTGTGCTGTCTGAGTCTGGGTAGTTTCCTGCCCGAATGTTTTTCTTGTTATACGTGTTTTTGCTCCCTCTCAACAAAAATATTTAGATTTTTAAATTTATTGAATTTTTCTTTCATTAAATGTAGTTTTTCATTCTGCACAAAAAAAACATACTTATCTGAGTTTTTTTCAGATGTTTTGAAAAATTCCATGTTACCAAATGAAATAAATGTTAATAACTTTCTCGTTTTTCAGCTAATATTCTTGAAATTTCTTTCGATACAGGTAACTTTTGATTCTTCACAAAAAAGTTCTCTTGAGTTTTTTTGATATAATGCATACTTTACGAAATATTCAATAAATTCCAAAAAAATCAAGATGGCGGCCATTTTTTTCCAAGTTCCACCAATGCGACAAAGTGCGATTTTTGAGGGATTAATAGGGATCCTATTGACTACTCATTTCCGCAGAGATCACTTTGTTACTAATTTTTTCTACCCCAACCACCTATTTTGACTAGCCTATAAGACGACGACGGACTTGTGCAAATTTCTTTTCATGGTTGTGTGGCTCTATCTAACAATTCAACGCCCAAATATTTTGTTGGATCATAGATTATTGAGTTTCTCACAAGACTGCACTAAAATCTTAATTTTGAATAAAATTGTACTTAGGCAATTTTCATATGATGCCGACGATATGTCACCTGGACTGGGACTCTGTAAGAAATAGAGATCGTTATCCCTATCGCTATGGCACTAGCTGTCTTCTTCTCTCTGTTCGGAATCAATAGAGGGGAGACGTCAATAGAGATAGAGAAAATATCTCTATTCGTTACAGAGTTTCAGTCCTGGCAGCCTCCAAAACAGTGTATGAGTAAATCCCACCGCTCTGGCTTGGATTTCACGTAAGTTAGCTAGCAACGCGTCTAGCTGGGTGCAAATTTGCCATCTGACTTATGCCCACCCCTGTATTCTTAAAATTCAGGTACTTTTTAATTAAGAGTCGAAAGCTTCCAAAATATTTTCTAAAAATATATCTTACAACTTCCAATATATTCGTTGATTAAGGTTACGTAGAAAATACCGTATATCAATTTCCAAATTCCAAATGCAACAACTAAACAGCACCATTGCTTGAAAAATAACGTATCCCACATTGCTCGCTACCGAACAATATCGATACCTATTAGGTGCTTATTTAAGATAAAAGACAAACATTTCTATAATTCCGGAAATGTTGAATGGAGCCCGTAGTCCTAATATGTATTTGGATTGAACAGAATTGAATAGGACCAGGCTAGTAGCTGCTGCCATTCTCCGCAGCAAGCATATCGTCTATAGTTATGATTTCTATTGCTACCTTCTACTACTACGACTTACCCTGATTAAAATCCGCTCCGTTGAGAACCGATATTCCATTGGATTCAATGTTCCGAACGTGCCGCCCTGCAATCACAAAAGTGTTTGTTTATTAAAGTGGGACGTTATTATTACTGCACCGGCAAGATTGCTTCGCATAAAAATAATGCTGGGTTCGGATAATACGTATTCCACAACTCAAAATATGTTATGTGTTACCAATAGTTGTTCTATAGAAATTGTACAAGAATTCTCCGGATCTAAGGCTTTTCAAAATGTTTTATAAATTTGAGAGTAGTTTCGCAAATGCCACCTTCAACAAATTTACTTTATTTATTTTACAAATGAAATATTTTGGAAAAGGGGTTTTCAAGGAGACAACAGCACCCCATGCATATAAACCCATTTTCGTGAAACGCAAAAAAAAAACGGCACATCAGAATTGGCTCAAATTTGACCATTCTGTGATCGACTATCTTCAGATTTATGGAGTTAGTTTTTCCATATTTTCAGTATTTTCGAAAAAATAGCAGGCCGTTTCTTTGGTTGCCTATCTTTTGAAAAAGGTCTTGCTATGGATTATTTCCCAAAAATAAAAATACCCACGTTAAAAATTGAAAAAAAATAACTCCATAAATCTTTAGACAATTGAAAAAATAATGTTTATTAAATTTTCAAGCGCGACTTTTGTAATAATAGAGCAATTAGCGGAAGTGGTAGCCGCGACGCTTGAGAAAATAGAAGAAATCAGTTTTCGAATTCCCGTGTCGGCGATCGAGATTCCTAGTGACAATTTGATGAAACAAGCAAGCGGTACCTATTATGGCAAAGTTGGGAGAAACTCATATCTGGTCTGGTTATGAATTGCTATCAAGAAGTGGCGCCAGTTTTTCCAGATAAGCCCAGGAATAGTTTTTTATGTAAGAGCCTGTGGAAGAATCTTGGAAACATTTTAGGTGCGAGTTATCCAGCCTTTTTCAAATGAAATTTTTGCTTGAGACTGGAGCAAAGCTCTAGAAACGTTTAACAAAAATGGGATGTCATTTAGGCTCAGCTTTATTACCATCTGGAATATGCGAAAGACTGATGACACTGCGGCTAAACCACAGCAACAACCAATAAGCTACGCTAATCAGCGCCTACGCCTCAACCCTCACAACAGACGATAACCATAAAGAGGAATTTTATGCACAGCTCAGTTAAATCATATCATCTGTACCTAGATCTGATAAAATTCTTCTTCGAGGTGGTTTTAACGCCCGGGTCGGTACAGAGTCAGATCGGTACAGTCGTCAGAGTCAGATCTATGAAAAGGCGTGATCGGCAAGGAAGTCGTCGGAAAAATCAACTCGAACGGATTCGGCTACTAACCACATGTTCAGAATATGACCTTGTAATAAGGAATACACTTTTTCGACAAAATAATAAATTCAATACTTCCTGGCAACACCCTAGGTCAAAGCACTAGCATCTAATCGATTATATAATTGTACGTTCTAGAGCTCGAAATCACGTAGGTATACATTACGAGACCTTTAACAAGTGCGGATGACTGCTGGACTGACCATCGGCTGAAACGAGCCAGAATGAACTTGCTCATCCCACCAAAGAGTAAATGTCGAACAAAGCCAGAAACTTCCGTTAGAGTAGGTACCCGGAAAGCATTGAGGAGAACTGGGAAATATTGAAGACCTCAATGACATAGACATCTGCCTCGGAAGAAACAGTCGGCTACATACAGAAGACACATCAAGACTGGTTGGATGAGAAATACACTGAAATTCAAGACCTTGTAGAAAGAAAGAAAAAGCGCATAATGCATGGAAAAGCGAACCCAATTCGACTGTAAAAAAGGGCAATATCAACAAGCAAAAGCAGAAGTTCAAAGGCAAACGGGAGCATTAAAGAACAAATGGTGGATAACAAAATCAAACTAAATGCAGCAACTGGCTAAATCCAACGGCACCAGAGCCTTCTTTCAGGCTACTAAGATGGTATGCGGACCAACCACTCAATCCCTTACTATCCAAAGAAGGCTCAAGACTGCTCAAAGACAGTTCTTCCATTATTTCTCGTTCGAAAGAACACTTCCAGGAACTACTTAACAGAAAATCAGAAATTAATAATGACATCTTCAACAAAATTCCACAGAAACCAATACAACAAGAACTGAGCGAATTTACCAGTTTAGAGGAGGTTGAAAAGATTATTAATTAGACATCTAAAGAACAATAAGTCAGCTGGTACTGATGAAATTCCTGCTGAAAAACAAGGAGGCCCCACACTAAGTGCCCAAACCCACATCCTGATAAGTGAAATAAGGATTATCGAGACCATACCTACTGAACTAAGAGATGCCTCCATAGTAAACATTTTAAAAAAGGGAGACGAGGCTCAATTTGGAAACGACAGAGGAATATCTTTACTTTATGTTGCGGGAAAGATATTTGCCAATATATTATCCAATTGTTTAATTCCAATTACCATAAAGAACCTCCCAGAGACACAGTGTGGCTTTAGACGCAACCGAGGTGTAGCTGCCATGATTTTCAGTGCAAGACAAATACAGGAGAAATCCAGGGAACAAAATCGCCCTCTATAAATTGCCTTCATAGATCTAGTAAAAGCATTTGATTCGATAAACAGGAAGGCTCTCTAGAAAATATTGGCAAAGGTTGGGTGTCCGCAAAAGTTTATCCAGATACGCCGCCTGCTGCGTGATAATAGCAATGCAACCGTCCTAAGCAACGATGGACAAGTAGAGTCTTTTAAAATAACTGCAAGCGTTAAACAGGGCTGTGTTGTTGCACCCACTTTATTTTGTCTATTTATAGAAACCATACTTCACCTTGTCGAGGGTCACCTGCCGTCAGGAGTGAAAAACCTGTACAGATTTGATGGCATACAGGAGAATCGGCCTAGAGGTCAACTTTAACAAGAAGCAGATTCTGCACCAACCACCGGATACTAATCCCCCAGCCCCAAAGATTACTATACGTATATGACCATTCTTTGCAGAATGTAGAACACTACCAATACCTTTGGAGCCATCTGTCATCGAATGAAACCATTGACGCTGAATCCGACATCGCTTGAATTGTGCTAGTGCGGCGTTCGGGCGACTTCTAGAGAGAGTCATCAACAATCACGACCTCAGCACTGAGACTAAATTTCGCATTTACAATGCAATTGTAAGCCTAGAAAAATACCACCAGCGATGCCTAAGAAGGATCCTACGGATTAAATGGCAAGACCGACGACCGAACATCAGTATTTTAGAGGAGGCCGAAACAACTAGCATGGAAGCCCTTATCATTAAGCACCAACTTCGCTACACAGGTCACCTCGTCCGCGTGCCTGAAACACGTCTTCCACGACAGATTCTCCACAGTCAACTGAAAGAGGGAAAACGATATCAAGGAGGTCAAAAACGCTACATGAATATTTTAAAGAAAAATATGGTAAAGTGCCGCATCGATGTCAGCAACTGGACGGCAACTGATAGGCCGAGTGGCGTCGAGTAGTCCACCACGGACCACAATCTTTTGGAGAAAAGCGGCTCAGACACGAGACCGAAAAGAGAAAGCAGCGAGAACACAGGGAATAACGTAGAAAATACGAGCTTACAAAAAATTTCATAAGATTCTTTTTGGACATGAAAGATGTGGGCTTTTAGGCTATGTCCTAGGTTTGGCATTACTAAAACGAAAACCTTTATTAGTAATTGAGAGAATAGTTTTGTTGTCAGAGTCGGGTATTCGGCAGGAATTTCAGTTGGAGAGGTATGTCCTTCGATATAAATGTTGTAAATTTCTTGAGAGCCAGATTGGTCAAACATTGTTTTGAAATCAGAAACCTCCTCAAACGACAGAGGTTCGAACATTGAAAAATTCTTCTACCAATTGAAAAGCTATATTACCTAAGTAACGTTTCGGGTCTGGCTCGATGGATTCTAAGAACGATATAATTTACATCGAGGCTTATACTATATCGTAAGTTAGAATGTTGTGTGAGCATTTTTGTTATAAATTGAAAGTTGCTTCGTGCAACACATTTGAATTTGCTGTCTGCTTAAATTTGAAGTTGCTTTGTGCAACACATTTGAATTCGCTGTGTGCTATAAATTTTCAAATTTGCTGTGTGCTATAGATTTGAAGTTAAACATATTTAAATTTGCTTTGTGCTATCAATTTTCAAATTTGCTGTGTGCTTTAATTTGAAATTGCTGTGTGCAACACATTTAAATTTGGTATGTGCTATAAATTTTCAAATTTGCTGTGTGTTATAAATTTGAAGTTGCTGTGTGTAACACGTTCAAATTTGCTGTGTGCTTTAAATTTAAATTGCTGCGTGCATTAAATTTAAAGTGGTTATGTGCAAAATATTCATATTTGCTGTGTGCTATAAATTTGAAGTTGCTGTGTGTGATTCTTTTAAAATTTGCTGAATGCTATAAATTTAAAATTGCTGTGTGCTGCAAATTTGTAAAAATTGTTTGCTGAGATTGGAAAGCACTTTACACAATATTTGATTGCTAAGTTCTATAAATTTAAACATACTAGTACGAATACTGTCGCCTATGGTTTTTGTTTGGTAAATTGATAAAAAGTGTACTCAGACAAATATTAAGAATTCGCCAATAATGAGTGCTTCGAGTTGTTGTTTGTTGACATTTGAGCTGTGCGTAAAATTATTTTTGCAGATCGACGCTTTGAAGGACCAAATTAGGATTCACGGATGCCTTACGTCAATGCAAAGAAAACTCGAAAGGAATTTTCTGTCAGTCTGGCCGAGTGAGCATTTCCTCAATGGCAGAGTCCAGCTACCAAGATGGACAATTCTAGACATTGGCAGTAACCCTCGATAAAGTGCCCTGGTGATTCATCTATTTATTTGAGTTTGTTAAGGAATTATGACATGACCCGAATTTTTTGGGTTTAGGGTTCAGGTAGTTTTATGCGTGAGATAAAATTTGAAAAATACTTGGACTACGAAGTTCTCCTCTTTTAATTGATTTTCTTCACTTAGCCTAATTCAATCGATGTGTAAATTGACTTTATACCTCATATGTAATTTAATTAATTTAA